CCCCGGCCCCGGCCGCTGCGCAGCGCGAACCGCCGCGCCCCAGCCGTCCCGGCCCACTCACTCTTCATCCCGACACGGGCGTGGGCACAACCCCTCGCAGACCCTGCCAGGGACAGAAAGGGGGCGCCCTGCCTTCCGCTTCCCTGAGGCGGGTCCTCCGCTAGGACCTCGACGGTGGTCCCTCGCTCGGAGCATTAGGAGCCCGCCGCCATATTGTATTTCTGTCACCCTAGCAACCATCAGGCCCAGACCTCCCCGAGGCGGCCGCCAGCCCGCGCCTGCGCACACGCCCTGCCCCGGCACGCGTGCGCAGTGCAGCCCGCGTCCTCTCCCTGGTTGCCAAGCAACCTTTTGCCGCTTTAAATCTAAATACAATTTCGGGGCTTCCAGAGTAGGCGATCTTTGCCTGACTCGCTTTCCCAGCTGTCCTGGGAATCTAGCCGTTTGGAGCCTAAGTAAGCGCGGACAATCGCTTTGAGCTCTAACTGGCTCGCGACATCTATCCCTTGTCTCATCCTTCAGTGGAACACCACCAGTCTGCTACACGGCGATTGCCCTCCAAATTTCTAAGCTTTTCTTTTTCGATCAGCAAACATTTATGTTGCCCCAGGCATTGTTGAAGACATTGGGGATATAAAGAAAAGTGTCGAAAGATTCCTTGCTTCTTGGGATTTACTTTCTTTCCGTTTTGTTTTCGTTTTTTTGTTTTTTGTTTTTTTTTTTTTTGAGACAGGGTCTCATGTAGTACAAGCTGACCTCGATTGAGACTTACTTTCTAGCATAAAGTTCAGTGAATGAATGAATGAATGAATGAACTGTATAGGCAAAATCGAGGACAGAGCCAGACAGTGACTGGGGCTTTAGACTCAGGCAGTAAACGAAGTAAACGGTCATTAATTTGATTTCCTTACAACGTGGTAAGATTCGATATCTCGCTTTTTTCGTTTTCTTTTTTGAGGGTAAAACAGTTAAATGTGTTTACTGTAGAAGGAGAAGAAGGAGGAGAAGGGAGGAAGGAAGGAGGGAGGGAGGGAAGGGAAAGGAGGAAGGGAGAGAAGAAGAAATGTGCGAAACTTGAAATAATCCCTTCCAGTTCTTTCCTTCATCTCGGATGCAGGCCAAGGTACCTGGCTCTTGGGGCTCCCAGGAGACCAGAGGCCACATTTAGAATTGACTACTTACTGGTTCCCAAAAAGTGCAGTGTGTGCTAGCATTGGTGGACACCAGAGCCAAGTCAACGCTATTATGTGGCAAGCCAGGCCATTTTACAGGACCTACTACACACATAGAAGGGTGTGGAGGTCACCACGTCATGGTCTGGAAGGTCCAGGTGACTTTGGGCATTGGGCGCTTGCCCCATCCCAGTATGATATTTATGCTTTCCCAGTTGCTGAATACATGCTGGGGGTAGACATACTGACTGGCGCTTGGCTCAACACCACGCAGGAAGAATTCCGGTTTTGAATTCTTATGGTAAAAACCATGGTCCAAGGGCATCCATACCACACATGGCTGGCTGTCCTAAAGCCGCTTGAGTTGTGTGTGTGAAACAGCATTGACTTCCTGGAGGTCATGAAGCAATCGGACAGACTGGAAGCTGCAAAAAGCAGGGGTGATACCCTCTGCACAGAGCCCTTCAGTATGGCCCGTGCGGAAGCCAAAGCAATTGTGGCAAGTGACTGTAAACTCTCACCCTGACGCTGGCAGGCAGGAAGGGCAGGCAGTGGACCTTCCAGATGTTGCCACAGTGCTATCTGCATAGCCCAACTTTGTGTCATGGCCTGGTGTCCCCGGACCTGACCACCTGGGCCAAGCTACGCTCTGTGTCACTGTTTTGTACTGATGATTGATGTTAGCCTCTGATTGCCTAGCAGATCTGAAAGCCGCTGTGCGCAGTCTGAAGGAAGCTTTGCAGGCATGGGCGTGGGCCATGGACAAAGACAAGGTCCAGGGAACAGGCTTGTCTGTCATATTCTTGGGTGTTACATGGTCGGGTAAGACCAGACCCAGGATCGTACGCCAGTTATAGGCATATGTGGGCTTGCTGGGCTTTTGTCGGATGTACCGCACCTGCCGTGCCCTGTACACCAGGTGACCAGAAGGGGCACGACATGGGGCTGCACAGACGTGGTGGAAGCTGCTTGCAGTATGCAAAGAGGGCTGTTGTGCAGGTATAAGCCCTACGAGGCACTGACCCCCCCACCCCCACTCCACCCCATTTATCCTAACATCAGTGTGGATGATGATGGATCTGGCTGAGGGCTATGGCAAAACCGGGGAAGCACAAACACGCTGCTGGGCTTTGGTCACAGTTGTAGAAGGGAGCTGAGCGCCGGTATTGCCTGAGTGAAAAACAGCAGTACTGTACGCTGCTCTGCACGCCTGTGAAGGATCATGGGACAGATAGAGGGCTGGGTACAGACATGGACAGCCCGTCCCAGGAGAGAGGTGGCACAGGTCCCCACTCCCACACGGTGGAGGATGTACCTCCAACAGTGGGCCTCTCTCTCGGCTAGCCTGTTGGCAGCCTAACTGGCAACGGTTTGGGGACCTGTGAAGTACACGGCCCAGGAACCTGTCTGGGAGGACTTGACCTCTAGTCCTTATGCAGAAGGAAAAGAGAGATCTCTACCTGATGCCAGGTGATGGAGACCACTATGAAGCGGCTCTGAGCAGGACTTAAATTAACCAGTTGGCTTTCCATGTTTACTTGTGAGTCTGCCCAAGGCCTAGGCCCCTTGTTTGGAGATGGGCAGCAGTCTCATAGTAAGCAAACTTGTATGACTCACTGGTCCTGGCTGAGGCCTGCAGTGGCCTGTGACTGTTGCCTCAAAGGACAGGATAAGGCCACAGCTAAAGACACTTGATTCCAACCTCAGCTAAAGACTGTAGCTGCAGGCATCTCACTCCTGTGGTGAAGACCTTCCTGGAGATAACATAGTTCTCCTAAATTAACATAATGTTTTACTCGGAGAAGCCCTGAAGTGGACTTCCAAGGTCCTTGAACTGTTCTGCTCAGATTCCCATCTTTCTTTAGTATTCCCCTCCTTTGTTTGATAACTAAATAAATTCAGGTGGCCCAAAGAAGATCTTTGTCTCAGTCCCCAGAGAATCTCAAATTGTGCTAGAGGGTTTTGATCCTCCTGGAGCATTAAGGTCATCCCACTTGACTCTTTTAGTTAAGCCTTCACTGTACACTCGTTTGGGAGATTGCAGGCCTGATCAGATTGCAATAACTAAGGGATAATATTAACACATTAGCTGGATATACTGATAGTACAGGTGTGACCCAACCCTGCAATGGACAGCAGTCACTGTCCAGCCTAGTACAGAAGAACTTTGGTTTGGAACCAGAAAAGACAGGTCAAGCCGATGGGCAGTGTTGCGGGCAGTGTGACTGATTGTGATGCATAAAAAGAAGGCCCTATGTGTATACAGAGATGGTTGGTTGTCTGGAGGGGACTGATGCTCCTGGCTTTCTCCTTGGGCAGCTCAGGAGTGACAGATCGGGCACTGTCCTGTGTGAAGTATCGACCTATGGCAAGATGTAAGGGAGTGTGACCCAAAAGCTGACCACATAGGGTGTCGTGGTTCAGGACATAAGCCCCTGCTCTTACCAGGAAATGACAACAGATGCCTTGACCAGGCAATGCAATGGTTGACTGCTAGGAATAGTGTCTGACCAGAAAAATTGACCGCTGGTGCCGCTAGGAACAGCACCTGACCAGGGTTAGGGACCCTAGACCTAGCCCTCCAGGTTGAAGCCTTTGCTTAGCACACGGCCCAGGCCTTGAATGTTACCTGCTGAGCTTTGATGTTGCTTATGGATGAAACTGTTCAAATGAAGACAGTGGTTTTGCAAAACCATGTGGTTCTTGATTTGCTGACTGTAGCACAGAGAGGCATCTGTGCCCTGTTACACGTAAAATGTGACATTTGTATACCCCCCACCTTTGAAGGGGTGGGGTGTGGGGAACCACTCAGACTGCTTAAAAGCTCAGGGGCATCTAAGGACACCTGAGGATGTGATCCCGCTGTCTAGTGCAGGGCGCAACGGGATGCAGTTGTGCAACTGTGACTTAACAGTGGTCAAACACACGTGCCAATGAGCTAGCAGGTAAGAATGTAAACATGGCTTTTATAGGCAAATGGATGCACTAGAGACCATACTCTTATTTCACTTTATAAGTGAAATAAGAAGCCGGGCATGATGGTGTACTGTAATCCCAGCACTTGAGAGGCTGAGGCAGGAGGAATGTTGCGAGTTCGAGGCCAGCCTGGGCTACAAAGTGAGCTCAAGGCCAACCTGAACTGCATAGTGAGACCCTGTCTCAAAAAGACAAACAAACAAACAAAAAAAAAGAGTGAAATAAATGGAATCCACATGTGTGAACATTGTATTGTCTCCCTAGTGTAAGAACCTGAAAAAGTAAATAAGATCCAAAATGTACAATATATATTATTAAAGGGAAAGAAATTGCTCAAAGGAAGGAACAACTGGGATGAGGGAAAGGACAAAAAGAAAGAAAGAAGGGAAAATATATATATAGAGAGAGAGCTATAGATGTCTCTCTCTATATATATGTATATACAGAAGGATAGCTGGGATAACCATACTGCTGATGTCTAATGGTTTGTGAAAGGAACAGTTACTGCTTAAATTTTTTTGGCCAATTTTGCATGCTTATATCTGGTAATCTCAACAACTAATTTGAAGACAACAATATGTAATATAACAACAATTGGTGAATTCCTACCGTCTTGTCTAGTGAAACTCTGTATCATTTCTAATGTTTTTTTAACTTATTTTTTGTTCTCTTTAATGGTTTGGTCAATATTGCATTCCTACATCTGGTAATCTGAGCAACTTTGTTGAAGATAACAGTATATAATATAACAATCACCGTTAATTCCTATCATTTTGTTCTGAAACCCTGTATCATTTTTATTGTTTTCACTTTAAAAAGTGGAAAAAGGAAAAAAAGAATGTAAATATGAGATAACAACCTGTATAAGAATATCCTGCCAGGCATGGTGGTGCACACCTGTAATCCCAGCACTTGGGAGGCTGAGGCAGGAGGATTATTGAAACTTTGAGACCAGCCTGGGCTACACAGTGAGCTCAAGGCCAGCCTGAACGTATAGTGAGGCCCCGTCTCAAAAAGACAGAAAAAAAAAAAAGGATTATACAATAAACAGCAGGTGGCTCTTGTGTCCTTGCACGCTGCTCTGCTTCCTGCTGCCTGCTGTTGTTGCTGATGTCTTGCACATGTGCATTCTTTAACCTGGGGACC